CAGCAACATAAATGTTTTTGTATCTTTTTGCCATCAGGAGCACTTCACCAGTCACAAGTCACAAGGTTTGTGACAGTGCAGATTTTTTTACACAAATTCCACCTTGTTTCCTTTGTTGCAGATTTGAGAAACACTCATTAGGTTGTACTTCAAGCAATTCACATAATACACATTTTCAATTGTGTTAGTAAGTGACTTCCCAATTCTTCTTACTCCCAGAATGTATCCCTTTTTGCCATTGCTAAGGACACACTCCCTCCTTGCAGGGTTTTGAGTGAAAGGAAATCATTAGTGCTTCCAGTCGATTGTTTTGGGTGAATCAAGGTTCTTTTTGTCCAAGCAGGTATCACTTGTTTTTTATTTGAGGGACCAGGTTCTTTAGCAGTAGTTACTTTTTCAACAAAAACTTTGTTTTTCTGTTGGGACTGAAATTTAGCTTTACAGGTTTCTTTAAAATGCCCAGTGTTACCACAGTAAGTGCGAAGCCATTTATCAGGCACAGTAACGTACTTGCTATGAGGGTTGTAAGGAGTCTTTTCCCTTTGGAACCTGATTCCCTGCCTGTTTCCCCCATTGTTCTTATACATAGCGGTGATTGCATCATAGGACCAGGTCCACTTAAGAGATTTTTCTAGGTCGTTCTTAACTCTGCCTAGATCTTCCTGAAGTTTTCTGTTTCTCTCAAGTTCAGCAAACAGACTAGATTTCACTAATTTTAGCTTATTTTTAAGCATAAGGTGTGCCTCGCTTGCAACTTCCTTTCCCTTTTGAGTGTTCTCATACCTACTTTCCCTTTTTCGTTCCTCAATTGTTTCCTTTAGGTCCACAACTACTACTAATAAGTCATCTCTCTCATGCTCCATGTTTTCAATCTTTTCAGTTGAAGCATCTTTTTCTCTTTTTAGACCTTCAATGGTCCCTTTAAATCGACCACAACAACTACTAGATCATCTCTCTCATGTTCTACTTCTCCTAGTTCCATAGTTAGCACATTCTTATCATTAATGAGATTGTGATACATATCAATTAGAACATTAGCTAAGGATATACGCTTCTTTTGAGAATAGGACTTCAAATTTCTTTGAATGTCCAGAAAGTTTACCTCATCGTCACCAAGTGTGATTTCTATGTTATGTATGGTCGTGCCTAAGGGCATATCGGTTGAAGTAGATTCTTCTTCTTTCAACTTGGATCCCATAAGGCGGACCTTGGAAAGTTTTAGCTCATCATCTTCATCATCCTTATCAGATTTTTCCATCAGGGCAAAAATAGAGTCATACTCAGCTGCTTCACTTTCGACGGCCATCATTGAAGTATCACCTTATTCATCATCTCCTTCAGATTCACTAGATGAATCTCCCCATGCAACAAGAGCTTGTTTCACAATATTGTCAGCAGCGTCTTTTCTTTGAATCTTCTATCAGGAATCGGGTTCCTCTTTGCTGCTTTATCAGTGTTGTGCTTGTGCGGAGGACAATCTTTTATGAAATGTCCTTGCTTTCCACATTTATGATACAAGTCATAGCCTTTTGGTCTGCTGGAGCTACCCCTTTTTGGAATGCCTCCATTTCTGCGCACCATATTCTGGAATCTTTTTGTTAGATAAGCCATGTCAGCATCCTCGCCACATGAGTCATTGTTGTCATCCTTGAGAACCAGGTTCTTCTCCTTATTAGGTTCTCTTCTTTCATGGTCCTTCTTTTTCTTTATTTCATATGTCTTCAGATTTTCAATGAGTTCATCAATGGTCAACTTTTGCAAATCCTTTGCCTCTGTTATAGCATTGACGTTGCTTTCCTAGGAACTAGGTAGTACACTAAGTATTTTCCTGACAAGTTTGTTCCTTGGAATCATTTCTCCCAGAGAGTGAAGCTCATTGATGATGGAGGTGAATCGAGTGTGCATGTCCTGAATGGACTCATTATCCTTCATCCTGAAAAGTTCGTACTCAGTGGTGAGCATGTCGATTTTTGACTGCTTGACTTGAGTTGTTCCTTCGTGTGCTATTTGTAGAGCTTCCCAGATCTCCTTAGCAGATTGACAGGCAGAGATCCTGTTGTATTCGTCTAGTCCAATACCACAGACAAGGATCTTTTTCGCTCAAAAGTTCTTTTCTATAGCTTTTCGGTCAGCATCGTTGTACTCCTTCCTTGTCTTGGGAACTGTCACTACTGGTTCGCCAATAGTCATCATAGGAACGAAGGGTCCATCGCAGATAACATTCCAGAGCTCTGAATCTCCAGCCATGATAAAATCATGCATCCTTGTCTTTCCACCATCCGTAGTATTGTCCATTGAACCTCGGTGTTCTGTAGGTAGATTGGCCTTCTTCAAAGTTTGGTGGAGCAGCCATAATGATCCTTTCTGGGTGTTAGCCTGATAGAAAGAACCCGCTCTGATACCAATTGATAAAAACTAAGGGTCCACCAAACTATATAGAAAATCTGGTTCTCTATTAGTTCCCACAGAGCACACACATACACATACACTAGTAAGTAAATAACACAATGGAGTTTTATGTGCAAAACTCCCAGCTCACGGGATTAAAAACTATGACCTACACTCGTAGGATTTCAACTTCACTACTAAACAAACTTCAAATTACAAACTATTGTAACCTAGGAATTAAACTCTTAATCCCTCACTCACTTGTAATAACTCTATTATAATCTCCTTTGTAATAACTCTATTACAAAGCTTACAACTCGACTAACTCTAGCCAAGACACAAACATAAGGTTTACGGTTTTACAAAAGGTTTCCCACGCAATGCTTCTAGCTAAGCTAAGTAAGAATTATAAGTAAATCACTTTAACAAAGGTGCAACACAACTAATGACATATAATGACTCAATGCAGGAAACTGGTCCTTCGTTATGTTATTCTATGTTCTTGAAGCCCTGAAAGTCACTTGCAAGATCGCCACACACTTGAGAGAAAACTTGTTTAATTCTGGAATGTGCAAGCGTGTTATTTTTCTTTGCTTCATGTTAATATTACCCAAGTGATGTCACTTGGATGATGCAAGCATATTCAGTACAAGGGCATTCCCCATAAAGTGACTGCTGCACTGTTTGCCTTGTTCCGTGTGTGCAGAGGAATAGTTGCAGCAACTTTACAACTGTAGGGAGTTGATTGGTACAATCAGTAAGGGAACTGATGTCCATCTGTTCCTTCAGTCGTTTTTTTTACTCTGAATTGTTGAAACATGTCCCCGACTTGAGACTTGTTGTTCTTGAGCACTTTGAGAATGTGAAACATGTTCCTCATCCGGTTCTTATCATTAAGTTTGTTAGATCATCAAAATATAACATCACACATAACCTATCAATTTAGTTCAATGTGAAATAGTGAAAGATCTCTATCCATACGTACATATCACCAATGATATGTCGTGTAACCTTTCTATTAACATTCCATGACAAGTAGGGATGCCATTTTTAACCTAAAAATGTATAATTCATCTAATCAAGTTTGTTCAACTTTGGCTAGACGGATTAGATATAGGCGACATATTCATCGAAAAATTAGAGCGATCAAATTCAACGCAACGAAAAGGTTAGGTCAATTAACTTACATTACTAACTTAAGTCGACGTCTAATAGTTTTGTTAAAAGGTATGAAATAAAATATTTTCGGTTAATTTAAGTTATATATGCTACTTTGTTGTACAACATCATTTTTAGCAATTTAATTGTATACCTATATATTTAAGAAACAAAAATAAATAAATAGAAAAATAGTTTTAAATTAGGTAAGAAGGGCTATGACTCATTAATTAAACTCATCCAGCAAATTTAGGCAAGGAGAAGACATTACTCGTTCATTAACTCATGAACATATTTTAATCTATCCAAATTTAACATCATTAATTCGTCCTTTTGACACTTCTTTATTGATAGATAACTTGCACCTTGGTCTTACACACTAAAGAAGAAGGGCCATGTGCAGGAAAAAAAAAGAACTCGTCCAATTTTTCTTAGATTTCAGTCCTCAATATTAAAGGAACTCTTAGTAAAAGAAGTAGCCTATTATACTCCCTCCGGTCCAAAATAAGTGATTTTTTGGCCTTTTTCTTGTGGTCCAAAATAAGTGATTTTTCCAGATTTCAAGAATGAATTAATTATTTTTTTCCTACATTATCCTTGGAGTAAATAGTGTTGGAATATGTGTTAGGAGTGTTTATGTGAGATAGCAAAGGTTAATATGGTCAATTCCAATGCTAATTAATGCTAAAAGATGGATTTCTTAATCTGTGTGAAAATATCCAAAAAATCACTTATTTTGGACCGGAGGAAGTAACTAATTTACACTAACTTCCATATTTTAAAGTCAAATAGCACATGGCCATCGAAGCGATTTCACGAAATCTATGAACCCAACTGTAACTTAATTAAAAATATTTCTTAATACTATATCCTTTATGAAGCTCTGAAATCTATAACAAAATTGTAATTTTAGGAGACAATTGTAATAAGATTTGAAGGAGGGGAGGGGGTGGGGGTGGGGGGGTGGAAAGTCAGGTCAATAATGTCAGGTCGTATTCTAGTTCCAGATGCAGCTGTATTTGTCTCTCATAATCTAATAATTTGTTGCCAGTAAGAAGAAGCGTCTTATACTCATCATATTGTGCTGCTATTGGCTGTTACTTGCATTGTTTGGGAACGTACTACAGTTTTATTTTCTTTTCACTTATCTTTGGTTTGAAATTAAAGAGTATAGTGTAATCAGTAGCCCATAAATAAATGGTGTGAGAGCTTGTTTAGTTTGCATGCCAACTATTTCATCGAATACCCGCTAAGTTATACTAAAGATGAGAAGATATAATCTAAAGTATCTTCTTTAGTCTTGCCGAGATTTAAATTTTAATCTCTCATGGTTTTTACCACACTGTCATGCCACACCCTTAAATGCAATTGAACAAATTCATTCGTATTTCTTTGGAGAGAGGAAATTATTGAGCGTAAGCTAGTTAAAGTTGAAGAAAGGAAATAATATAAAATAAGAATGAACTGTATATGAATAAATCTGTATGATGGCAGCAGAAATGGTATCTATAGGTTAAAAAAAAAAAAAAAAGACAATGGTAATGTTAAAACGAAACTCCTAAGTTTCAAAAGTTTCACCTCCCCAATAATTTAATCATGTCCTTCAGACCTAAAACGGGGGTGACAAGAAAGAAAATTCGAAAAAGAAGGCCAGATGCTCACGACCTTTCTCTATCGAAGTTGAATATCGTCATCTCCATCTCCATCTGTCTTCTTTGTACGCTGGTTTACGCATCAGCCACAGAAAGAAATATTAGAAGAAAGCTAGTGCATAGCTGAATAAGTAAAAAAAAGTAAGTTATCACAATGTATAGTAGTAACGTTTACACTATTTTAAAAGTTTATCTGCAACAATTACCATGTAATTTTCATGGTAAACTTGATATGATAATTTCAAAATAAAATAAGTCACCTACTACAATAGGTTAAATTGCGATGCCAATATAATAATTATTTGCAGTATCATGCAGGTATATAACTTAAATCATTTGTATATACTTATAATGAGTACCTACTTAATAAACATTGTTGAAAACCTAAAATATATTGTAAGTAACTTGCGATAACAAAATAAAATAATTTAACTTTCCTATCAATGTATACAAATTAAATTATTTCTTGTTCTCTTCAAAGAACTCACTTTACGGAGAGAATCATGTATATTTGGTAAGATACCTTCTTTCAAACACACCGCACACTACTATTAACGTCAAAGTCAAAACTGTGTACGTAATTCAAACTATCCCAAGCATATAGACGTATGAGACGCAAAACCACTGTAATATGAAAGACTTGGAGCTAACAGGAATCATTAATTAGTGAGGTGACATTATTATATAGTGAAAAATCTAGTAAGATCTAATTTAGAGTTTGACTTACATATACATAGTAGTAAGAAATTTTGTATTATTGCAACACTTGATAGCGTAATTGTTTTTACACTTTCATGTTTATTAGTTAAACTCAATCTTTTAACCTGTCTAACAAAGAAAAAGTACATATTTTACTTTCAACTAGAAGGGAAAAAGTGATTAACCCATAATTTTAGAAGAAGTATGCAAAAAATTTCAGGAAAAAATGTAACCAACCATAACTCGGGGTAACCCAAAGTACTAGAAAGAGGAGCAATAAATGTAAATAAAAGAGAGAGGAAAGAAAGAGATTTGAACGAGAAAGTTACCAAGATAATAAATTGTTGAAAGGAAAAAGCTTCAATGGCATGCAGTGAAGAAGTTAACAAGAAGGTCCAATGCTCCTTTCCTCTTCACTTTTGGCTCTCTGTTGCTGCTGTGGTGTTTGTGGCTGTTGCGCTAGCTGCTGCTGTTGTTGGAGCAATTGATGCGGCTGAACTTGAACCTGTCCGCAATGTTCCTGCTGGGTTTGCTGGATTTGATAAGGATTGTCAAAGGAGCCCAAAGCCAATGAAGGTGATACTGAAGAACTCATTTGATGAAATCCGGTAGCAGTTACTGGACCTGACAGACAAGAGACGAATTCAGGATTTAATCTTTATCATATCAAAATTTCAAATTTTAACTTTTTTGGCATATATGATGGTAGTCATTTTCAACTAATATGTTTTCTTGAAAATTGGTTTTCATAGAGAATATTGTTTTTGAAACTATTTTCAGAAGTTTGTTTAGTGAATAGAAATTATTCTTACAACAAACATATCTTAAACATTAATAATAATATTAGGATATCACAGTATATTGATCAAATTTCACTAGTCCTATAGATTAGCAATGATATTTAAGTGTTTGTTTACGCAACTAATATAAATTTAAAAGGTAGTACTATATAATAGTTGTACGGAAAATGTGATTTTCGCCTACAAGTGAGAAAAGTCATTTTTCCTTTTTGTATTTTCTTTGGAAAACATTTCAAACACCAGAAAATGATTTCCTCGTTAAAAAATGTACAAAATACTAACTTCTATCACACCAAACAAACCCTATATATGTCTAGAATAATTTTTAGGATTTACACACACACATATACATTATACATAGTCAAGAGATAATTGAACCTATCCTTTAAACTTACATCCGCCACTACCTGCAGAATCAAACCCACTGTTGAATTGTGGATGCTGCTGCTGTTGTGGTTGTTGTTCATAAGTTCTCAACATTTCCTGTTGCTCCCTTGCCGCCATCGCTGCCGCTAATTGATGAGCTTCAATAACTTGCTGCTGATTTTGCTGCTGTTGTTGTTGAGGATCACGCAACATTAACTGAGCACCATGTTGTTGTTGTTGTTGCATACCTGTTGGCAATCCCAACATTGGCTGCATATTATAAGGCATCATGGTAGAAGACGACGGATTATTCGGATGCTGTTGTATATACCCGGGGTGTTGAAGAATTGGCAACATTGCCGAAGGACCAATATAAGTTGCTAATTCTTTCTTAGCATTCAATAAATCATCTTGGACTTGCTTGAGCTTATGTTGAAGTACCGAAATTAGGCCAACACAACCATAAACTGGATCACGAAGGCGATATTCGGCTTCATAGGCAAGGGAATTTACAGCATCTTCACGTTGAGTAGCGTTTAATTCGTTGAGTAATTTGGCCACATTACTAGCCCCAAAAACTTTGTGAACATTGGCAAATTTCTGAGGTTGATCAGGTGGGAAATATGGTGCAAAAACACATTCTTGAGTGCATTTTCTACGCAAGAATTTGCATGCTGCACACGGAGAGTTGGACGAGGACATCGTTGGCCTCCCTATTGTTGTAGACAAATGACCCTTGCCTCTATAAGAACAAACAAATTATGAAGCCTCAGAAAATTATACAAAGTACATTTTGCAGTATGATAAATAAATTGTAGTCGCTCAGATCTTATACTGGAAATATATATATATATTTAATTTACTCTCAATAAATAATCAATAAACAATGGAGTAGGTAATAAATTTGACTGTATTAAAGAATGCATGGTATTAAGAAGCTGTTTCATTAATTAACAATTTTGGAGTAGAAAGGCATTAGAGTGTTATTGAAGCAAAGATGGCAAGTTAATAAAACAATAATCTACATAGAATATAGAGGTCTTCTCATTTATTTATTCAAGGAAACTAGGGATGAGTGAAAATAGAAGCTGTGGGTGATTAATTAGTAACAAAAATTGCTGGCCAGTTCTTCCTAAAAAGTAGTACCAAAGTTCATACTCGATCTAATTCTCATAATGAATAAAAGCAAAAGGGTAGATTTTTATGATACGTTTGCACCAAAAAATAAAAAAAAAATTAAAAATAAAAATAAAAGAAGTGGTTATGTAGAGAGAGAGCGGTGAAGAGGAAATTACTTGCAGTTGTGGTTTAAGATCCCAAGTTAGTAAGTGAATCAAGATCTCTCTACATCAACACAAAATTTATTGTGTTCCCTTATCAAATCAAACTTTTTCTCCAATTCACAAAGAGAACATGATAACAAACACAGAAATAAAGATCCAAAAAGCAAAAAGAGAGGAGAAAAGTTTTAAAGAACACTAAGGATAATCTCACCTTGTGTTTTCGAAAAATCTAGAGATCAAACCTCAATCCTTCTCTCGCTCCCCTTAAAACTAACATCAGCCAAAAATGGAGCGATTAGAAGATGAACAAAACGAATATAAACAGGATTTAATACTTAGATCTTCAACTTTTCGAGGGGTCTCATAGGATATAGTAGATATATATATACTCCTCTTTTATTGAAAACTTTTACTTACCTCTATAAAAGGAAATGAGAGAAGGCATTCGAAAATGGAAGATTAATTTATTCTTGGTTCATATGAGGGATCGAGTGGAGCGCTAGGGTTTCTGTGAGAAAGTTGTCGATCCGATCTTCAAGTTTTGACGATCCCAAAGGAAGAAGCAGCAGAAGAAAAGAACACAACAAAAAGAGAACACGTTTGTTCTTAGTAGGTTTTATTATGAATATGAGACAGAGCTAGAGAATTTGGAAGAGATTAAAAAGGAAGAGATATCTCATTACTATGGAGTACTGTAGCCGACGTCATTTTTATTATATATTGGGGTAAGCCTGTAATTTGATCCATTTCCGAGGGTCTAATGTGAAAAGTCGTAGCGACCACGTAGAGAGAGAGAGAGAGGAAGAAACCTCCGTTAAGAATTTCTATTCTAATAACTAATGAATAAATGTGAATCTGAGTAGCCTCTTTGTCCGTGGACCAATTTTGTATTTCCAAATGTACCCTTATTAAAAGTCAAAGGTGCTATAGGTCTCGTTTAAATTAGTACTCCTATATATATGATTTTATTAATCTAGATCAACTTATGTGCACTAGTTATTACGTGGTAAAAAGTATTTACACAATTATATAATTTAGAGTAAAATTACTTTATCCTCTTGACCTTTAAGAGTTGAAAATTAATACCTTCACATTTTGAATGGGAAAGAAAATCTTCTTATGCATTATTTTTTTGGTGAGAGTTTCTTTTTTTAAAATAAAGATTTTTTCTCTCTTTATCCTTTCAAAGGTAAAGTATAATATTTTTCATCCAAACAAATAGTTGAATTTCGTCTTTCTTGCTTATAAAATTTAAGATAGTTTTTCAATTATATTGACCTTCTTTTGAGACCGTTGTTAAATATTTTGCAAATAAAGAAAAAAATCCTGCATACAAAATTCAAGAAATATGATGAACGCACATTCAACCATGGATGCTTTAGCATTTCAATTTGAAGGGAAATAATACATAATAGTCAATTCTTTGATATATATATATTAGATGAAAGAATTGCTGCTATGAGTATCAATTTATTTGTGCATTATATTAAAATTATTATACTAAACCAAATATTAGACTTTACTTACTTTGAAAATATCTTTATTGAACATGAAATTATAGTTGATAATGTCACATTTTAAAATTTATTACGGAGGCGTTTTTGCATTACATCATATCTTAAACAATGCAAGAAGAAGGCAAAAGGGGAACTCCACAAATTATATAGATCCTAATTGTTTTTCATATCTTGAGCTTTTGGCTATAATGAAAGTACTTGATTATTCTAAAAATTATCTACTCAGAAAAGAAAATTTTTTTATTAAAAAAATTATTTTGCCGGAAAACTATTGCACAAGGGGGTTCCCTTTCCCAGTCAAAACGTGAGGGGATATTGTTTCCCAATCCTTAAATATAAAATATTTATATTTATAGTGTTAAAATCTTTCACTAATCTATATATAATTCAAATCTTAATTCTACATGTTCCATTAAGTTTTTTCTTTCCTTTGTTCAACCATGTACCTATCATACATTCACTAATGTTTATTTCGCCCAAAAAAAGAAAATAAACTAGTTAATTACTGTTCTCTTCTCCAGCTAATATAGTCTAACTACTCTTTTATTTAGTCATGATTATATTATAGTAATAAAATTAAAATCAAGTTGTTACAAGTCTCAGAACATTACTTAGACACGTTGTACAATATTCTCACGTGCATGAAAAAAGAAAACTTCTGAATAGATGCAACGCATTAAATTAAAGTACTTTATTTGAAAGTCGTAGGAGTAATTATAATGATTATACTCTTGGTAGATCTAAGATTAATTATCATAGCATCCGTGACCAAACTATGCGTTATGTAAAGCCAAGATGTGATTAATTAATTGACTATTTGAAAGCTATTCTATAAATTCTCAAATTTATAAGAGGTTTTCAACCCTCTTATAATTTCTAAATGTGGGTGATCGAATTTTTTTATTTAAATAATAAGTAAAGGAAAAGTAGTAAGATTAGCTATAGATCTAATCTCGAAACACATACAACCAAATAAGGAAAAAAAACAATATGACGAGTGAGCATAAAATTAAAGTTTTGGCTCCATATGAAATATTTATATTAGCCGATCCCTTTCCATATACACTCTCCCTATATGATATGATCTGTAACTTTCACATAATAAGATCAGCAGAATATAGTTTGTATAATTTTAAAAGGAATAATGTACTTTTATTTGTCCGATTAAGATCATCAAAATTTGGTCAAATCTTTAAATACAATTTACTGTTCTACAAATCTACCAATGGATATGCACATTGGCTTAATGGCCCTACACAAAGCTGCATCTATATTTTTGGTTTTAGAATGGAAGTGTTATATTCTATTGAATCTCATCCACACAAAGTCCAAACTTCGGTGAATTAATTATTGTTTTAAAAGAACGAGTGTCAAAAGTGAATCATCGCACGTATCCTCATATTCTACTATGAAAATATTTTTCATGAACATTAAAGTCTTGATCTAATAGTAACATGCAAGTCTATGAAAACTAAAGAAGCAAATATTTGAAAATATACACAATCTTGGTTGAATGCATGTGCATGTGAGAGTGAAAATTGAAAATAAGGGGAAAATTAAATATTCTAAGTTATATTAATAAACTTTGTTAACAGAAATATTTGGCAGAGTTGAAAAAGTAGTCGAATTGATTCATAATGTGAATTACTGAGGTCAACATTGGACCGAGCATGTTTTATAGACATCAATTTACTATTGGAATATGGCTGGGTCAAAGATCTGCACTCAGAATATGGGTAAAACATAAGTTACCGTTGTTGAAGAAAAGTTACGTAAGTAATTTAACTGAGTCAGGATAAGACTTTGGAGTGGTAGAGAATAAATCAATAACTACTTCTCCATTTTCATAGGATAGAGTGTTTGACAAAAAAGTACTAAGCTTTTTGTTAAACTAATTAATAAGAAAATAGAGGTTAAACCCTAGCCAAGGATAATTCACTCTAGATCAAAGCGCATTGAACAGGAGAATAAGATATAGTCAAGCTCATGAACTTTCAATACTTATAAAAGATATCAAATATAAATGACCTGCTTACATTCATGATGTACTGTTCCGTAATGCAAGAAAAAAAGGTGGAAAAGAGAGAATGCCATTAATAGTTGCGGGATCTATCTTTATTAACTCCAGAAAGATGATTACAAAGATTTGTCGCCCAGATCCGTAACTTCTCTTGTTTTTCTCCTGTAACCTTCTCCTGTTCTTCTGCCTCCGGTTTTTTGTAGGAGAGAGCCCCCTTTTTCTTGTTATTTTCCCCCTATATATATAGTAAGTATTCCATATTATCTATCGGTTTTTAGCCAGAGTGCATGTCTCTTCATTGAGCGTTGGGTCGTTTCCCTTAAACGTCAAGACATATGCCTCGCCGTACAAGGTTTCTGATAGCTCGATCCCGCCAGCGGCCGAGATACCCGTTATTATGATGTCTTATGAGTACGACCTTGGATCAATCGAGCCCTCGCCATTCCTTTTAATGCTGATCTGCGCGTGGTCAGATTTCGACAGATACAGTTAGTCCCTCCGACCATTGAGGTCGCCGCTTGGTGAGCTCGATGGGCGGACTCTATTGATTCGAGGAGGAGAGATCTGAACGCTTTGTGCGAGAGACGAGCACCTTATGGCGAGTAGCGACGTGACGTTTCGAGAACTGCGTCAGACCGTTACATCAGTTTCGAATTTCATTAATGTTTCTTACGCGTCATTATGGCGCACGTTTCCTAAGCTTTGCGTCGTTTCCCTTGCCCGTTCAGTTTTCTAACTGGCGGCGCTTGATTTTCCTGCTTAGCATTTATATCCCTATAAATAGGGGAGAATCTCTCATTTGAATGTTACGCTTCTTAAATGCTCAGAGAGAACTTTGCAACTCTTCTTCTCCAGTTTCTTAGATTTCTGTTTCCGTTAGGATTTGCTGTGACCACCAACTTTTTCCCTTATCATTCTCATTTCTTTCGATCAGAGAAAAAATGGCTAGATTTATCGGTACGGTTATAGATTTATATAAAAACTTACGGTTTTATAAAAAAATACCTAAAAATCGATTTGATACGGTACGGTTCAATCGGTTTAGTTGCTTTTTAAATATTCATTAATACCCCTAGCAAGGAGCAAACAAAAAGAATGTGGGGGTAGAGAGAGGAATAGAAGAAAAGTTTTAAGTCAGCCGTACGCTAAAGTCGCGCCAGTGACTTACGTACATACCTTATATCTCGAGGGACAAAAAGGAAATAATGAATTAACTTATGAGTTATGAGTGAGGGGTCGCCATGCACCACTAAAGATTGTGATGAGGTGATAAATATTGCTCAATAATTAATCACATGTCTCTTGTTATAATACTAAAGCAGAGTTGTTTTTTATATGGAGTGCTTTTACACTTAAAGTAGTGTGTACAGGTAAAATCGGGGATACTGTCACTCCTGATTTCCCGGTAAATAAACAAGAGGAGAGCATGATCTGACGCAACTTCGAGTAAAGTCGAAGGGTTCCTCAGTTTTGAGACTGGAGAGGACGGACCGTGCATCTGGGATCGGACACAACTAAGCATCAGGTCCGAGCAGAGTGGAGGTTCGAGACTAAGGAAAAAGAGAAACGCTTAAGCACGATGAGTGTTGAGCCCTAATATCCGCCCTCAACCGGATATTACGTCGCAAATCCCGTCCGATATCAACTGCAGATCGACATTTACTTAAAATAGAAGATTTTTACCTTATTTAGACTTGTACTAGGATTGAAACTCCCTGACGCACTATATAAAGGGGAGAATTTTTAATTTTAAATCACTGTTGGCACGCATATCAAAGCAATAAAGTTCTTTTTTGTCTTCTAACTGTTGTTCAATTCGTTCTCCAGTTACCCTTTTCTTAGTTATAACCGATAACGTATCGAGGGCTCGATCGGAGCCAGCTTCAGTGTTCAATTCAAAGCCAGGCTTAATTGTTCCTTCGCATTTGGTTTGATCATTTTATCTCTCTTTAATTCAATTATTTGTTGTTCTTAGATCATTTGTGTTAAATTAAATCATGTCTTCTTTAAACCACGAACAAATTTAATTGTTACTCATTTTAAAGGATAAATAAGTAAAAAAAAATCGCGATCTAATTTACTTTTAGTTTCTCACTCGATGTTTAAAAGTGTGCAATCACAAATTAAATCGGACTAAGCAAAACAAATA